AATTAAAATTAAAAAAAAAATACATTTTCTTTATGAATTTCTATATTCTGCAAGTTAAAAACTAGCCTAAAAAAATTATTTTCATTATTATTTATTTTATATAGTTTTGATTTGTGCTCTATTTCGAATTTTACTAATCACTTCAAATTTAAAGTCTATTGCAAATATAACCTATATGTGAAAGAGTTTTTTATTTTTCTAAAATTTAGAAATACTTAATAGATTATGTATATCATAGGAAACACATATCATTAAAATCGCAACCGAAATACTAAAGATATTGAGTTGTTAAAGTTTGATGAATTAGCAATAAATTTGGCAACAGAGCCATACTTCTTCCTATATATTCTAAGTATCATATTGCAAGAGCTACTATAGCTGAAAGTACTCTAGCTACTTTGACTTAGATTCGCCATATAATATTCTAGTAATGAAGTAGTTTCGAATTTGCAACTCTATCAGTGTCTTAACGGTGTTGGTAGAGGCTACTCGATTGTGAAGTTGTGACAAGAGCGCGACACTTTTTTTAAGCCGTGAATATTGAAACATCCAGTTCATTCAGAGTTCAGAGTATCTCCTAGTCAGACTTACCGACTGGCGTTTTCTTACATGGTATGTATTAAATTTTAGCTTTGTCTCGTCCTGGCTGGAGACGCGTGCGAATATGATCGAGCGGGGCATACTCACGACGCTCTTCGAAAAATACTTTCCCAGCCTGATGCAGAGGCAGCGGGACTTTCGTCGCATCACGCCCATCACGAACATGGCCATGATTCAAATGACGTGTCACCTGCTCGAGTGCTTGCTGGACAGCGACCCAGTTGAGGATGACGCTGCGCACGGGGGCGACAAGCATTTGGGTGTCAATGCACACAGCCAACACCAGGGCGAGCTATCGCATGAGTCCGTCGAGCTGGCGTTAGAAACCATCTTTGTGTATGTTACGCTTTGGAGCTTCGGCTCGGCACTGCATCAGGACACGATTGTGGACTGGCAGCGCGAGTTTCACAAGTGGTGGGCGGGCGAGTTCAAGGATGTCAAGCTGCCCAGTCAGGGCACCATATTTGACTATCAGCTTAATGTGCAAACACTGAAGTTCCAGCGCTGGTCAGAGCTGGCCGCTCAGGAGCAGCTCGAGTGTCAAATCGATGCCGAGCAGCCGTTGCAGGTGCGTGCTTGACCTAGTTGGAAATGAACTAATCATGCGAACAAAGCTTTTGGTTACACACTCACACACACGCACACACACATACACTGGCACACATATAATCACACACAGAACGTGCTCATTTCAACTGCAGAGACCACACGTCTGGGCTACTTCCTCAAGCTGCTTATCGACCGCAATCTGGCCTGCATGCTGGTGGGCAGCTCCGGCTGCGGCAAGGGTGCCATCTTCCGTGAGCTCTTCAGCAAATATGCCAGCGCACAGGAGCTGCTTGAAATTGCCGTGACAGCTGTCAGCGGCAGTCAGCAACAGACGCCGGCCGTTGCAGCCAATCCTGCTAGCGTTGGCGTTGGCGTTGGCGTTGGCGTGCGTCGGAAGCTGTCCTCGTCGACACCATTGCTGACCACAGTGCAGGCGACACACTTTAACTTCTACACCTCATCGGAGATGTTCCAGAAGATGCTGGATCGGCCGCTGGAGAAGAAGTCGGGGCGCTGCTTTGCGCCGAGCGGGCCGAAGCGCCGACTGATCTACTTCGTCAACGACCTGAACATGCCCGAGGTGGACGCCTATGGCACCGTGCAGCCGCACACCATAATGCGCCAGTTCATGGACTACAGGCAGTGGTGAGTGGTGGCTCAGCTCGATTTCTTTCATTTAACAGCAGCTGAGATTATTGTCGATGCCATGCCTAGGTACGATCGCCAGAGGCTTCAGCTGAAGGACATACGGCATTGCCAGTTTGCGGCTTGCATGAATCCGACTGCCGGCTCCTTCACCATCGACCCGCGGCTGCAGCGCCACTTTTGTGTGTTCTCGGTGGCTCAGCCCAGCGAGGAGACGCTGCACCACATTTACAGCAGCATCCTGAACAGCCACCTGGAGCAGCCGGCGCTGGGCTTCAACAAGGAGATCCGCTCCATTGGCAATCTCCTGGTGCAGGTGGGCATCGCGCTGCACCGTCGCGTCGAGTACGCCTTCCTGCCCACGGCCATTAAGTTCCACTACATCTTCAATCTGCGCGACCTGACCAACATCTACCAGGGCGTGATGCACAGCGTGGGTGCCCCAATCTCCGCAGGTGGTGCAGCCAGCAGCTACAGCGGCACAGTCTGCAGCAAGCCCGCCGAGCTGATGCGCCTCTACGTGCATGAGGCGTTTCGCGTCTACCACGATCGCCTGGTCGATCAGTACGACATCAAGTCATTCAAGTCCTCCATTCGGGACATATTCAAGAAGGATTTCGAGGACTTTGACGAGGACTTTGTGTTTGCGGAGCCACTGATCTACAGCCACTTTGCCCAGTCGCTGGTGGACCAGAAGTACATGCCGCTCAAGAGCTGGGACTCGCTCTACCAGCTGCTGCTGGAGGCGCAGGCCAGCTACAACGAAATTGTGGGCTACATGAACTTGGTGCTATTCGAGGATGCCATGATACACATATGTCGGTAAGCTGAAGGCTAACTCGATTTATCGATATCACATTCCATATATGATATATCTCAACTCAGATAATCTTATTTTTTAACTTTTCTTTTCCTTTCCAGCATCAATCGCATCCTGGAGAGTCCACGTGGCAATGCCCTGCTGATTGGTGTTGGCGGCTCTGGCAAGCAGACGCTGGCGCGCCTGGCCGCATTCATCTCCTCGCTGAGCGTGTCGCAAGTGCAAATCAAACGCGGCTTTGGGCTGCTCGACATGCGGGACGAGATTGCAGCACTGTACATGAAGGTGGGACTCAAGAATGTGGCGTCGGTTTTTCTCATCTCCGATGCGCAGCTGCCCGATGAGTCGATACTGATGCTGATCAACGATCTGCTGGCCTCCGGCGAAATACCCGAGCTCTTCAATGACGATCAGTTGGATACGATCGTCAATGGCATACGCAACGAGGTGAAGCAGAGCGGCACCTTGGACACCAAGGAGAATTGCTGGCGTTATTTTGTGGAGAAGGTGCGACGGCTGCTCAAAATCGTGCTCTGCTTCTCCCCGGTGGGGCAAACGCTGCGCATACGTGCCAGAAAATTTCCGGCCATAATTAGCCGCACGGCCATTAACTGGTTTCACGAGTGGCCCCGCAGTGCACTGGAATCGGTGTCCCAAAAGTTTCTCACCGAAATCGGTGACATATTGGAGGTGTGTGCGATACGCTGACTTTATTATTACACGCGGCTGTCCGACGCCGTTTACAATTTACAACTTTAAACTGTCAAAATGACAACAGAAGGTGCCACAACACACGCACACACTCATGCACTCACACACACACACACACACACACAGCTGTAGCTCGATAGCCAGAGAAGTCAACTGACCCCCATTCATTTGCAGCCCGAACTCGTGCCGCCCATCGCCTGCTTTATGGCCTACGTCCACGGTACTGTGAATCAGATATCGAAAATTTATCTGCAGAATGAAAAACGCTACAACTACACCACACCGAAAACCTTTCTCGAATACATTTTCCTCTACCGCAAACTGTTGGTCGACAAAAACGGCGAGTTCGCCGAGCGCATCGGCCGGCTGCAGAGCGGCATGGCCAAGCTGGCCGAATGCGCGCGTCAAGTGGACACCCTGAAGGTGAGCGTAAATAATAATGTAATAAAAGAAGAGAGGAGTTGAATCAATTTAACGACCTGCAAATTTAAGACCTATACGAGTAGCATTTTAATTCATCAAAATCGGTGGGTGATAACTGTAATCAGCTATTCGACTAGGGTGCCAGGCAAATCATTTAATATAAATAAATATATATAATACTTCATTAATT